GTCTTTTATTGAGTGGAAAAAAAAAAAAAAAAAGCTTATAGAAGTCATACAGATTTGTAGTGACATAAGGATCAGTAAATGATGACAGAATTTTCATTTTTGGTGAACTATACCTTTAAAAACTGTCCAAAAAAGAATTGGCCACTAGCAAAAATGTATATAATTCAATGAAATACGTGTGATATGGCTGATATAGCAATTAAAATGTTTTAATAAAATTAGGAAATTTAAAAGTAAATTAGTTTAAAAGTAAAGTAGTTCTTTTCCATGGAGATTTGGGGTGGTTAAAAACACTGGTTTGTAACTGTAACAGTTATGGACGTCTGTGATTTGTTTCAGTTTCTGTTCTCCTGCCCTGTTTAGTTCTGTTTCTATGTATTTTGATTAATTGCAGCTTTCCCTCGTTAATTAGCCCCATTATATATACACCCTGTTTAGTTCAGTCCAAGGCCGATAATTTGCTTTACATTTGTGTTGTGCTACACCTGCTCCTCAGATTTCTACTGTTTATTTCTTGTGGATTTATCATTAAAGAACTTTTGTGGAATATTCTCTGTTGTGCGCTCTTTACAGCACCAGCACTTAACAGTAACCAATAGGTTAAAGATTTAAACCATACAGTCCATGAACTTTGAGCAAGAGACTTAACCCTAGATTGCTCCATGAACAACAACAAAACAATGCGGCGGTGTGACTGAATATTTTCTAGAATAACAGGGTGATATTTGATTATAGTACAAAATCAGAAAGAAAGAAAGACATCCATCAGCCGTGACATGATTGAGTGAAGCGGCTTGAGGTTGTCCATTCAGTGAGGCCCTGGTTATATCATATTCATGTGGTTTCTGAAGGCCAGAGTATTGGTCACATACTGGTCAGTGATTGAAAGCATGACCAGCCGTGTGTAAAAGGATAGCAGTGTGGATCAGACTGTGGTTTCAGAGGTCTGAGCTCCTCCAAGACTATAAATTGAAAATACGGGACAGATCAACTGGTAAAATAAGACAAAAATACCTATTAAGAATAGTAGTTTTTGTGTGTGTGTGTGTGTGCGTGTGTGCGTGCGTGTGTGCGTGCGTGCGTGATTTCAGCAGTACATCAACAGCACACTTCATATATCCTTAATTTACAGTGGGTATAGAAAAGAATCACCCCCTTTAAAACAATCTTATTTTGTTCCTTTGCGGTCTGAAATGAAGACAGACACAGTTTTTTTTGTTTTATCCATCTGTATTTGCTCAGTGCAATTTATAACATCCAAGTGAAAGATATAACACCAATATGTCAGAAAAAAAAACAGACTTGTAAACTCAATCTGTTGTAGCTAATCACCTACTCAATGGCACGCAAAGCCATTTGACTTTCAACTGTGATCTGCTGCGGTCATTTTGATTAGCTCAGTTGCACATTCATACAGACAGTATTTGAGATGCTACTGTGAGTTGCTGTGTGAACGGGACATTTCGAGACTCACACCTGTAAGTAAATGTGGTTGTTAATCCCAAAAATTGACAGTGTGAATGTAGCCACTGTGTGTTGTTCAGAGATGCACAACAGTTGATTCTGCTTTGTTTTCTTTTAAAATGATTTCTATTGGCGGAACAAAAATAGATAAATTATTACCAGTGTTGTGTCTAAATGTCATTATTAACCTCTTATTAATTGAACTTTTGGTAAGACTTTAGATTAGAACCCTACCCTATACCTAAACATAACTACTACAACAACTACCTTACTTACAATTAATAATTAGCAAATTGGAAGTTTATTGAGGGAAAACTTTAAGTAGTCAATATTTGTTACCTAATCGGAAGTGTTCCCGAATTTTTTTTATAAAAGTGACAGGCAAATCACACATGCGCTGATATTTAGGAAGACAGAAGTCTTGCTTGTGTGAAATTACACATATATTTATGACTCATCCTGCACTACATTGATTTTTGTCCAATCAGATGCTCTCTAGAACAAGAATGCCCCTCCCATTAATAACACTTCACAAGCAAGTAAGCTCATGGCTTTGACATAACTAACACCTATTGGCAATTTAAATATGCAGATGAACCTCCTTTATGCCCCACACAAACTTCCTGTTTCAATAGGAAATATGTCAACACAGAACAGAAAACTGCAGTTTCATGTGGTCTTTATATCAGGACATGGTTAGTATAACTTGTAAGGCCTTTGGTATCATGAGAGTTTAGCATTTTTATTTGATAGAAGATTCATTGTCACAAGTTTATTTTAAAATGGCATTGTTTCATCATTAGTTCCATGGAAGTTTGGCTTCTTATCTGGAATGGGTACCAAGCCAATCTTTTTTCCCCCTCAGGAACTGAGTCTGAGGCAAGCCGTCCGGTGCAGGCAGCAGTTGTGTGGCCTCCCTCAGAGCCTCCCTCTGCCTCAGTGTCTGCGCCTGTCTCACCCTCCAAACCAGAGGAGGAGCAGAGACCTGTGGAAATGTCAGACATCACGCTCTCTCTGTCTCCAACAAACTCTGAGACAGAGGAGAAAGCGGAGGATGCTGACGCCGAAGAGTGTGAGGAAATGGTGTTGAGTGGAATGGAAGATGAAAAGAAAGAAAAACCAGAAGGAAAATTTGAGAAAGATACTAATGGAACGGGTACAGAGGAGTGTGTGAGAGAGCAGATGTTAGAGAGGGATGTAGAGGAGAGTGCCATCCTGAGTGAGAAGGAAAGGCAGAATGAGGAGCTGAATGAGAAAGATAACTGCTCTGCCTCCAGCATCTCCTCAGCCAGCAGCACTCTGGAGAGAGAAGAACGAGAGGAGAAACACGTCAGTGACAGTGACTCAGGTGAGAACAACACATACACAAGTCGAATTCTGTGAATGAGTGCAACACAGAGGGTCTGACATTCACCACAAGATCCATATTAAAGGGGTCCTATTATGCTCTTTTACAAAGTCTTGATTTTGTTTTGGGGGTGTACTAGAACATGCTCTCATACTAGGTTGTTCGAAAAACACATTATTTTTCACATATTTTACATTATTACAACACCTCTCTCCCCAGTCTGGCATGAACGGCTCGAATAGTTCCTGTATCAAATGAATGCCCGCCTTGTGAAAGACGAAATGTGCTGTGATTGGTTAGCTGGGCCAGTGTGTGTTGTGATTGGCACCACTCGGTGCCTGGTCGGGAAATGTCATGCCCCTTACCATAGCCGCCTGCCAGCTTCAGTGTAAATATTGCGTCAATATCAAATCAATTTGAGCGCGATTTAAACCCGGATGATTGTAACCACTCTAAGTTCGTCTGCCTTGGGGAAACTAGCGTGTCTCCAACATAGTGATAACACTCGTTGCCTTCTCTAGTGAAGCTCAACAAGGTCTCGTCCCATTCGTCAGTATTTGTGATATCACAAATCCCGGAAAATATGCATTGTAGTCCAAACGAGTCATTCGTTGTAGTTTTTGAAAAGTGATTTCTGTTAAATAAAATATCTCCTTTTGAAGTGGACTTTGAGATTTGTAACTTTGCAGATCTTTTTTATGCTCAAACAGCAACATTACAGACTAACTAAAGTTGAAAAAAAGTGAAAAAGCATAATAGGACCCCTTTAAACATTTCTCTCCTGACAAGCATTTCTTATCCACCATGAAACTTTATTTTACATTATTATTATTATTACTATTATTAGTATTATTATTATTTGGTCCCCCGACAGACATTCTAATGACTTTTTCTACTAACCCTAACCTAACAGTCTACTAATACTCTAATGAAAGGTAGTTAACAAGTAGTTGCATATTAATCAGAGTTAGTTGATGTCTACATCTTAAACTGCACCTGTCCTAAAATGCAGACCAATAGTGACTTTGTTCCTCACATTTTTGATTTAGTGCCTTGATATTTTGTGAGGATTATTTCACATATGTGGAAAATTGAGTTTTGGGGAAAAATGATCCTAGATAAACCTGTGATGGTAAAAACAATGTTGTAAACGTTAGAAGAGTCGCAGATGGTTTATTTAGTACACACGTGTCTTTTATTTGAAGCATGCACATCACTTGCATCAGCAAGAATCAGACAGACAGAGTTATTAGAATTTGATTTAAATTATGTATTATGTTGCAGTTCAAAATAAATTTACCAGCCAGCTGGCGTTTTTACTCACATTGGTTTGCCAAGCATCAAATGATATATTTTTTAAAAATAATAATTTAATAATTTAAATAATGCAAACAACAGTTTCATGGTCAGAAATAAATATTTATGGCTATTTTCGTTCCCAGTTTAAGGTTATTTTCCCAGTTTACCCACCATTGGCGGATAGAATGAAACAAAATATAGTTTCCCAGTTTACCCGCCACTGGCAGGTGTGACAAAAAGTTTTGGACTGTTGCTGCACATTTTCATTGAAGGGATTTTTTTTTCAGTGGTGAAAATTAATTCAAGTTTCAGCATTTCTGTTTTCCGTTTATCAGTGCCAGGTTACGACATAAAAATAGACATGTTTTGTGAAGATGCACTCTTAAAATCATACATATTGTTGAAACTTGCTCTGAATTTGTTCTCTTAGGCAAGTGGGGAGACTGTATGAATACAGTGGATGTGAACGATCAGTGTAATAAAGTTCTTAACAGCAAACGCTTCATGCTGGACATGCTTTATGCTCAAAACAAGAAGGGAGAGGAAGATGAGAAAGAAAAGGAGAATGAGAATGAGAAAGGGTGTTCAGGTCAGGACTCCTCTGTGACCAGCCTCGGTAGTTGCATCTCCACTCTGGAGGTGCGTCGGCAAGCTTGCGAGGACAACATGAAGAAATTGGAAGTGGATCATCTGGATAACCAGGGTAGCGTACGGGCTGTGGCCGAGAAATTTGGAGATTTGGTTAAAGGACTGGTATCGCCTCATGAGGTGGAGCATTCTGGGAAGGAAAAGCAGCAATCACAGGAAAAACCTCTGCCGGCTCCTTCACCAACACCCCCTAAAAAGGAGTCAGACCACATATGGGACCAGCTGATGGCCACTCCACGGGAGCTACGCATCAAAGAGCTGGACTTCACAGACTTGGGAGAGGAGGATGATGTGGATATTTTGGATGTCGGTAACGTGATCGGGTCAAGTGACCTCACGCCACCTCCTCCCCCGCCTCCCTTCTTGCCCAGCCTTCCGCCCCCGCCACCTTTATTTGGATGCCCTCCACCTCCCCCTATCCCTGGCATGATGATGTCCCCTCCACCACCTTTTTTGGCTTCAGTACCTCCTCCACATCTCGGATCTCCGCAACGTAGTCGAGGAGAACCCCCGCTCTTCCAGAAGAAGAAGAAGACCATCCGGTTGTTTTGGAATGAGGTCAGACCTATAGACTGGCAGTACAGCAACCACAAGAGATGCAGGGAGTCACTGTGGTTCAAACTTGATCCAGTCAAACTGGACACAGCCAAGTTGGAAAACCTCTTTGAGACGAAGTCCAAGGAGCTGCCAGTTACAAAGGTACTGTTAAATTACCTCTTTTCGGTGTAGAAAAACTTGGAATCATTATTTATTGGAAAAACCATTGTATCGACTTAACAATGAAAGTTGTTTTGTGCTTACATCAAACATAATATTACAAGTTTTATGAACTTAAAAATAAAATGTTTCAATAGTTCAATAAGCTTGCATTTTCAGTTAACCTGAGCATTTATAATACATTAAAGTATGTAGAATTGACTTAGTTGATCTAACTTGTGTATCAGTTCATTGAGAAAACTGAAAAGGGTATAAAGTTACTTTTTTGCACCAAAGCAAGTTTTATATACTCACTAAAATTGAAGAAACTTCACAGACGAGAACACTAATCACACTAATGGTGACAACAAAATATGACCAAAAACACTACATGAAGCTATTCATTCTAAATAACAAATATTTATTTTATACCATTTTTTTTTTTTTTGACCAAAAACAAATTACTCAAGTGGATCATTAGTGGTCAAACTGAGCTTGCTCAATAGCCTGTTAGTAGGTCCCTCACCACCAAATTTGATATTGTTTGATACATTCTTGCTGTTTAATATTTTAAATTACTTATACTAATTGACCTAAAATGTACTATATTTTATTTATTTTATGTAATGTCGACTTTTAAAATAGAGTTTGGTTGGTTGTTGTTGTTCTTTTTTTTTTTTTTTTACATTACTTCTGAATGTTTTTTTTTTTTTACAGTACAACAGCCTAGCATCAAGATGGCAACAACAAAAAATATTTTTATTGCTCTACTTTGGTTTTACCTGGCTTTTATCAGCACATGTGAACACAAACTATAGCTGCTGGGAAGTTACTTTGATCTTTTCTGGGCCTTTCTTCTGTAACACACAGTATGAATTTTGACACCTTCCGTTGCCCATGTGCGGCCTGCACAGCTTTCTTATGACATTATCGCACATGTTTAAAAAAGAGCTGCAGAATGTCAGTCAGAATGGTAATAGGTTGGGTGATTGGCTATGATGGATTCCATGTATTACCTAAAAGCTTCATCAAGGTGCTTTCTGGGTTCCATAAATCCTGCTGCCACTCAAAACAAAGTCAAGTCACAAGTCAGAGCTTGGCTGAAACATTCTAACCCAATCAATAAAGTCTGTTACGAGGATCTCGAAGTTTGTATGTGTGCTATACTCTGAAACATTTACTGCACCGTCATTCCAGGTTGTATAACAGAGTTCATTTTATTCTTTCATGTAAATTATTTTTCATGTACAGAGATAAATCTTGATAGAATGAACACTGATATTCACCATCACAGGTTTTAAGTGTTGAAGATGAATTGAGATTGAATTGATTTATCATATTATTTGGCTTGTTCGCTATTAAGATGGTGTCTCAGAAATGTGGCCTGCATGGGGTTTCCTCTCCTCTCTGCTCTGAGCAACCTTTTCCAGCTGTTTTTCATTTTCAACCCATTCTCCCTCCCTTTTTCCTCAGAGCCCCTCCTCTCCCCCTATTTGGCAGCAGACAGAGTACCATCATGGCTCTACTTCTCCAGAAATATTCTCCATCAAAGTCCCAAAATAGCTCTCAGGTGCTTGCGTGCCTTTTCAGCAGAGTAAAGATTAAACATATCCCAGCTTTGTGTTCATTTCTCAGGAAGCCATTTTTGGGGTAATTATCCACATTAAAGAAATGCCTTTCCTACTCAGTTCAGTGGCCAGCGTGAGAGTAAGAACAGGCTGAAGGATCCTTATTTCATATTAGGTGTGGGAGAATAGATGTGTATTATGATACGTCTTTTTCACGATTCTTTGGATAAAAAAATATATGTTTGAAACAGAATTTTTTTTGTAACGCTGTAAAAGTCTTTGTCACCTTTGATCAATTTAATGCATCCTTTTTGAAAATGTTGAAGCCAATTTTCAAATAGGCACTATCTTTATTAATAAACCCCATATTTGAAGTTTAAACAACTACATTCTTGCCTAAAAAACTACATTCCGTGACACAACAGCTGTACAACAATAGTTTTTGTAAAATTTTGTCAACGAGAACATAAACTTTTATTAAATAGCATTTCTAAACAGTTTTGTCTACTTGTGGAACGTGTGATGGTATTATTTAATTGTGAGATAATATTATTTAATGCATAAAATGTTATCATGAAATTAGGACTCTTAACATTTCAAAAGTCAAACGTTTTTAAATGGTGCATTTTTACCATAAAATGTAATTTCTGGTATAAAAATGACAAAAATCTCAAGATTTTCTTGTGATGCATGTGTGTGAACTGTTTGACCTTTTTAGAATACAAATTAAACTAGTGAGAGTATATAAGCGTGTTTTAAAAATCCACAGGGCAGAAAAACCCATAGCCATAGAAACATTTTTATTTTTATTTTTTGTCTACTGAAGCTAACCAGCAAAGCTTGATGTCTTGACCCCTCAAAGTACAGTCATTATGAATAACTCTGATGATCTGTTTATATATCTGATTTCAGAAAACAGCAGCAGATGGGAAGCGTCAGGAGATCATCATTCTGGATTCCAAAAGAAGTAACGCCATCAACATTGGCCTGACGGTCTTGCCGCCTCCTCGCACCATCAAAACAGCCATCCTCAACTTTGATGAGTATGCCTTGAGCAAAGAGGGCATAGAGGTAATGCTGCACCAGTTTAAAATCACATTCCGTTTTGCAAATTATGCCAAATCATCCACAGGTAATGAAGCAAATTTGACATGATGAAATTATTAAGAAAAGCTACAATTAAACTCAATACATACGTTTCAGTCATAAAACTAGTACAATGCATGGTTACCTGTTACAGGTTACCATGCAGAAAACACATCTGTACTTAATACTAACCTTGTTTTGAGTCCACGTGAGTCACATATTCCTTGAACCCCTCTACAGTTCGCTTTCACTCTCTCTTTCGCTCTCTCTTTCTTTTTCTCTTTCTCGTTCTCTTTTTCTCTCTTGTCACATCAATCATTCAGGCATTTATGATCATCCCCAGACTGCTACATTAAAACATATTTTTACCAAAATACATGGCTCTCTACAACTGTGTTCAACAAGACAGAGACATACTGACTGTAGTCGAGTTGGCAAATCGAAAGCATCGAGTCAAAGCTTGTGTCCAAAATAACTCAACCTCTTTGCCCTGAAAGCATACATTTACTTTGGATTTCCACAAAACCAATAGATTTTACCCTTAAAACTAATGTTTAGCAAGTTGGTTTGGCCAGCGACTCGGCATATTATGTGGATTTCCTGCAAAACTGAAGCATTTTTGCCAACAGTCATATAATCCATCTCAAAGATTAAAGGTTAGCAAAATGCTTCATTTAGGCTGTTACAGCCCATGATACAGATCTGAGGTAAATGTCTCAATATCAACATGTGAATAATGGAGCTCCCATTTTCTCATAAAATCTGTCATTTTTTATCTTTCGTCATGGGAAAAGATTAGAGTGTTTCTCTCCACCCTTTATGTCTCTGCAGAGAGTGTTATGTTTTCACTGACAACCGCAATTTATGCTTCTCAAGATTTTATCAAAAATGTTGTTCTGGTCAGGAGAAATTACCTTTTTTATTCAATTATTCAGTTATGCAAAAGCAGGATATGCCCATAGCAGATGAAATAGCAGTGAAATAGTCATCGTTTCCCACATTTTTGAGTAATGCCGTGTCTTCCCAGGTGTTGTTGTTCATCAACGCTCAGATGATTGATGGAGCAAATGCCTTTCTAGGGGTGAATCCCCATATACAATGGTTTCTGACAGTGATACTAACACTCCCTGCTGGGTCTCGTGCTCTTTCGTAGAAAATCCTGACAATGATTCCTACGGAGGAGGAGACGCAGAAGATTCAGGAGGCCCAGCTGGCGAACCCTGACACTCCGCTAGGCAGCGCAGAGCAGTTCCTCCTCATTCTGTCCTCCATCAGCGAGCTGTCCGCCCGCTTGCAGCTTTGGGCCTTTAAGATGGACTATGACGCTTTAGAGAAGGTCGGCCTCATGTTCTGTTACCCCACTCATACAAATTAAATAACATCATGGTGGTTTGGGGTCAATTGTTTTTGACCTCCACTTTACTAAAATGTCAGCAGGGGCTTTAACTAGTGGGTTGTGGCCCAAAATTGGGGTGGCAGGTCCGGTCTGATAGGGTAATGGATAGCAGGAAAAAATCTATGCTAAAAGTAACCAATAAAGTGCAAATAACTATATAATCATGTAAAATTTGGATACAGTTGGATACATATACAGTTTGCTTGACATGTACTCACCTTCAAAAACCATGAACCAAACACACAAGGTAAATGAGAATAAAAAAAATTCTGTAATAGTTAAATGGTGTAATAAATGGTGCAGAGAACATGAAATTAAAGAAATTTAAAAGAACATTTACAAATAAAAAGAAAAACTATAAAAACAAGTTGGTTGAGGTTATTTATGGTAATATTAATAAATCTGCATTAATGTATTCACACAACCATTCAAAAGTTTGGGGTTTCTTTATCAAAAAATACAATAAAAACTATAATAATGTGTTACAGTTTAAATTGAAATTATTTTAACATATTATATTTTTTGTAAATGTAATTTATTCCTGATGGCAAAGCTGAATTTTCAGCAGTTTCAGTGTCACATGATCCTTCAGAAATCATTCTAATATACTGATTTGCTGCTCAAGAAACATTTCTTATTATTTTAAATGTTGAAAACAGTTATGCTGCTTAATATTTTTCTGGAAACCATGACACTTTTTTTTCAGGATTCTTTGATGAAGAACAGCAAAAGAACAGCATTTGCTGTGAGCATTTCGCTAGTGAGCGACGCCTCGTGGTACCGTCACAGAGAGGCTCAAAATCACTTTCCAGAACATTCTCGTTCACCATTCCTGGCTGGTGGAATGATCTTCCCACCCCTATCCGGAATGCTGAATCCCTGACAATTTTCAAGCGACTTGACTTCATCTTAAAAAAAAAAAAAAAAAATTGTCTTTCTCTTTATTTATTCCTTCCCTTTCTAGCTTGTACTTATTTGAACAATGCCTAAAACTTGGTATTACAAGCACTTCCTGTGTCTGTTTGCCTCTTTAAGAAGAATTGCTTTATGTATTCCCCAATTGTAAGTCGCTTTGGATAAAAGCGTCTGCAAAATGACTAAATGTAATTTGAAATATAATTTTTTTAGACATTATAAGTGTCTTCTTTACTGTCACTTTTAATCAATTAAATATGTCCTTGCTGAATAAAAATGTATAATTTATAATTTATTTCAAAAAAGTCTTGCTGATCCATAAATTTAAAAAAATATTGTATTCAGTTTATATAAATCTGTATAAATATATTAGCATTAATATGTAAACATAAATTTCAATGTTGTGGTTGTTGTTGTTAGAACAATTTTAGGACTTTTTGAGGTTCTCTATTATGATGAACAATTTTGGTACTGTGTTCAGACAGTAGTTTTAGATCTAGAACCAAAACCACCGGTCTACAAAATTCTTTCCTAGAGGCTATTTATTTTTAACTCAGTCTTCTCTCTCTCTCTCTCTCTCTCTCTCTCTCTCTCTCAGGAAGTAGCAGAGCCACTACAGGACCTGAAGGAGGGCATGGACCAATTAGAAAAGAATAAGACCCTCTGCTACATCCTTTCAACTCTGCTAGCTATTGGCAACTTTCTCAATGGGACCAATGTAAGTGCCAGCGAATTCTACAGCTCTTCTTTCATCCCCTAATCTCTCCATCTCCATCTGTATTTCTTTCTGTCTGTCTGCTGTATTTGCTTAGATCTTAATAACATTAAAAAGGCTGATGGAGATAAACCTGATAAGGTGGTGAGTTTGGCATGACATTTCATTTGTTACTGTAAACCATTGAGCGTGGGCAGCAGAACAAAGCCAGCGAGAGTCATGTCACGTCCGTGGGGATTTCTCCATTCCCAGCTCTGTCGTGCCTCACAGACTTGCAGACAGGATTGAGATTCTGTGAATCATATTTTAATGAAGCATTGATCAGAATCATCATGGGAGCTGCACACAGATTCTGCGCATGTTCAAAGCGCTTTTATCTTAATGCAACTGATGCTAATCAACTAAACTACATCATAATCATGTCAAAATTAGGCCTTTTTTTAGAAAATGATTTGATGATGGACCAGATCCAGAGTGACTAATGCTCTCAAGGTGCATGTGATGATGATCAGAGCTCATTTCATCTGCACACATATACACATTTAAATTGATCTGATATAAAATTTCCCTGCTTTTCCAGCACGCATTACACTGTTCTTGTTTTTTTCCTTTTTTATCCTCAGAGACCAACTGTGGCAAATTTCCTGCACTTATGTAAAGCAATTAAGTAATACCTTTTTTTCAGTAAATATGAAATGTATCGTAATCTATCACTCTGAAATGTAAAAACAGTTTTGGCAGGAAAATATTAACTGTCTATATTTGTATACAATGTAAATTTTTCTGAATGCTGAAAGTCACATAACGTACACAGCAAGTATATATATATATATATATAT